TGCCCCAATGCAAATTTGAAAAATGCCAACAAAGTGGGTAGTGCCAGGAAACACAGGGGCACGGCCTTACATGTGAGTGGAGGTGAGCAAGGAGGTGTGGCCAGGACGAGAGAACTTTTTTTGTGTGTGATGTGACAGCTAGCTTTAGCTTACTTTGACAAGCTAACATTCCTGAAAACATTTCTGAACATTCTAAATATCATATTTATGCATGTATAATACGAAAAATTTTATCAACAATTTAATTCACAAAGTTGGGAGGTAGTACTATGAATGGTCAAAAACTTTTTTCTCGTGTATTTTAATCTAAATATTGGTGTCATTCACAAGATGCCTGAGTCCCGAAATGAGACCGCATCTTAAAAAGCGGTTGATGCTAGCTTACCTCCGACACTCCTTCATGCTTCAGGCAGGAAACATGATGTGAAAAAACAGTCCTGCAGCTTAGTGATGATAACAAACAGATGACATTAGTGTCTAGTTATATTAACTCTAACTAGATGCCGCATGGTGGTAACATAATGACCCCCGCACGTACAAATGCACCAGAACTCAGAAGTCTTTATTCCTAATAAAAGTCATGCTACTAGATGCATCCCAAAATTGTAGTGGTTTGGGTGGGGTCTTTGGGGGAGGGGGGTTGACCGTTGACCTGATGGATAGCCCCTCATCAGAGCTAAACAACAAAAGAAATCTGAAGCTCCTAATAGTTTTTGAGCTACAACCATACCCCTTTTTCAGATAAATTGGGAGTCCGGGCGGGGGTGGAGGTGGGGGGTACTGATTGGTGGGCCTGATGGATAGAGAGTGGAACAATCAGAGCTAAACAACCAAAAAAATATCTTAAGCTCTTATGTTGAACAGGTTCGGAGTTATAAGCATTTCATGTCCAGACACCCCTTTTTCAGAAAATTGGGGGTCCGGGGGGTGGCACTGAATTGGAAATATTTTAGTAAAATACACTGAATTACAAGGCTTTACAGAATAGTACACTAATATTGACTATTTAGAGGTTATAATTACATGACTTTGATAATATGTCTTGAGCTACAGTGGGCTGGTCTGAGGCATGAAACTCCAGGGCTGAAAATGAGTCCAACTCTGGCCCTGCATGCAGTAGTCCAGTCTCTCTCTCTCTCTTTTTCTGTTTTGATTTTGGAAGTTGGGATTGGTTGCATATTTTTGTATTACCGTATTTTTATTTTGCTGTGCAGCACTTTGCACAAAGTGCTATATGAAGTTTTGATTGATTGATTTATTCATTCTTTATTTCTTTTCCACCTATATTGGTTTGATAACACTTTCTGGGATATTTTATGTTTTTGCTTTGTTTCTGTTTGGTTTTTTTATTTTGTAATTTAATGGTTTGTGTTCATTATTCTAATTACAGTCTCGTGTCATTACTTGAATTTCTATTCTGCTGTAGTGTTCATTGCTGTCTTGAAAATAAATCATAATAAACAAAACAAATAAGAAGTTGATTCATCATTATTCATTATTGCAGTCTCTCTCTTAGATTCAACCTGGCACAGACGCTGGCTGCTAGAGGGGGGTTGTTATTGTTTTGCTGTCCTGATAAGAACAAGGCCTTTTCTCTGAGGCCTGCTGCTGTGTGGCTGCCATGAGTCTGATTGGAGTTGGAAGGAGAGATCATATTTCTCCAGTTTTAGCTTCTTTCCACTGGCTTCCTGTCATATTCAGAATAGAATTTAAAATCTTACTTCTAACATAMAAAGCTCTCAACAGCCAAGCTCCGTCTTATATTAAAGATCTCATTCTTCCATACTTTCCTAACAGAGCACTACACTCTCMGACTGAAGGCTTACTTGTGGTTCCCAGAGTTTCTAAGGTCRTAKTCAGACCTGATAATTTGCTCTGCTTTAAACGAACCAGAGTTCGTTTCCAGCGTTGGTCCGGACCTTTTGTGCAGGTGTGAATACACTCATGCGAACTCTGGTGCGGATCAAACAACCGGACCAAGATCCGCTTTTTGAGGTGGTCTTGGTTCGTTTCCAAACGAACGCTGGTGCGGTTCGCTTCAGTTTGCTTCTGGTGTGAATAGAGACTGGACTCTAACTGAACCAACTGCATTAAACATGCACCTTTTTGGACTTCACAGGCCACCGTTGCTGAGCTAAATAAACTGAAAACATACCTGTTTTGTCATCTCCTGTTAGCAGCTCTACTGCAGCATGTTATGGGTCAGAACATGCAGAGCACCTCTTCTCCTTTGGGTCGCGGGACACATTTACTGACGCCGCTCCAAAATTAGAATATCATCACAGAACCACCATTAAATTAGCTGCTTCTGACATTTTAAATTCTATTGCAGTTGTACCATCAGCATAAATGTGCGCATCAGAACCGCAGCAYGCAGRACTTYCTTGTTTTCTTCTGGGTCTGTGRCTCAGTCCCGCCCCCGTCCTTTTTTTTGTCCAGTGGGAGCAATGATCGTCAGCCTGATGGCTTTGTTTACAAGTTATAGTTTGTTTGCAAAAAAGCACAATGTGAATGCAAACTGCACCAAATGAAAAAAAAAGTCCATTTTTGGTCCGGACCAAACAATTGGACCAAACGACTTTCCTGGTCTGAATACACCCTAAAAGTAGAATGGGAGGCAGAGCTTACAGCTATCAAGCCTGGTTCTGCTGGAGGTTTCTTTCTGTTTAAAGGGAGATTTTTCTCTCCACTGTCACCAATGTACTGCTCAGGATGGGAGACTGTGATGAAGTTAAGATTCAACACAATCTGCTGACTTCTTTAGATTTACTTTTTTTTGTGTACAGTGCCCTGAGAAGCCATTTGTTGTGACTTGGCGTTATATAAATAAACTGAATTGAATTTAATATTTTTACCGTTGTTATTTATACAATCAATGAATGAGCCAACAATCACTTTTCATTATTTCATTCACTTTTTATTCAAATATACTTGTACATKATTGGTTCTTTAAAGAGGCAGAACCATAGCTCCCAATAGAACCAAACAGACCATAACACATGAAGCAAAAACACTGGGGATTGAACAGCAGGTACGTACAGTACATGCAACATTTGCAAAGAGGATGACAAATACAGAAGCTCTAGAAGTACAAGTATATAAAACATTTGACAGAAGTTACTACCAGCAGATCACATCCAAAATTCTGATACAAAATCCAGATAACCACAGAATACATCCAGGAATGATCAAAGAACACAAAAACTATACTATACGTGGCAAATCATTTTAGAAATTTAAAACACATTCAACTGAAATCACAAAATTGCTTTAAAATTTAAAGTATCAAAATTATTTTAAATTTGATACAAAACCAAATTACACATCTATTGCCTTACTAACTTAACTCTTCAATAAAACAAAAATGAATATATACTGTATATCAGAAGTATAAAGTTGATGCAAATATTCAACATGTTAAGATGTACAACCAAAGGCAGTTATTTTAGAAATAAATGAGATCGTCCTAGTCTCATCTTGCAGTTTATTTCAGATTCATTTGTCAGAACATGGATAAAGGAAGACCCTAAAAAACTTCTGTACTGAGACATTTGTAGAGTTGTTTTTGGATCAGTGTTGAAGATGAGTTAAAGCAGAAACTTTTGACATCATGTTTTTACATACACATTTACAAACATTAGGATTCAAGCATGGTAAGTTATCCCATATACACTATACTCTACTTTAGATATGTAAAAGAATATACAACCCCTGGCAAAAATTATGGAATCACCAGTCTTGGATGAGCACTCATTCAGACATTTCATTCTGTAAAACAAACTCTGATGAAAAACGATACAATAATAAGGTCCTTCCAAAGTGCAACTTGTTGACTTTCAGGAACACTCAAAGAAATGAAGAGAAAACATTGTGGAAGTCAGTGAATGTTACTTTTATTGACCAAGCACAGGAAAATAAACATAGAATCACTCAATTCTGAGGAAAAAAGCATGGAATCACTCAAATTGGAGGTAGAAAATAAGGACACACCCAGTCAATTTCCTTTCCCTAAATGAACACCTGCCTCAGATCTGCTTGTTAGTCTGCAGTTAAAAACACCTGCAGTCATGACACCTTCGAGGGCTGCTGGACGAAGTGGAGTGGCAAGAACCATGGCTCCATCAAGAGAAATGTCTCTTGAAACAAAAGAGAGTATTGTGAAACTTCTTGAAGAAGGTAACTCTTTACGCATGGTTGCTAAAGATGTGGGCTGTTCACAGTCAGCTGTATCCAAGATATGGACCAAAYACAAACAGCATGGAATGGTTGTTAAAGCCAAGTGTACTGGTAGACAAGAAAGACATCAAAGCATCAAGACAAACAACTTAAGGCCATTTGTCTTGAAAACTGAAAAAGTACAACAGATGAAGCATAAATGGGAGGAAGCTGGAGCCAATGAATGTGACCGAACCATAAGAAATGGCCTAAAGGAAATGGAATTTCAGTACAGGAAAGCTAAAAGAAAACCATCATTGACACCTAAACAAAAAAGAACAAGGCTGCAATGGGCTAAGGAGAGGCAATCATGGACTGTGGATGACTGGATGAAAGTTATCTTCAGTGATGAGTCAAGAATCTACATTGGACAAGGTGATGATGCTGGAACTTTTGTTTGGTGCCGTTCCATTGAGATTTATGAAGAGGACTGCCTGACGACAAGAACCAAATTTCCACAGTCCTTGATGATATGGGGCTGCATGTCAGGCAAAGGCACTGTTTAATTCTTCTATCAATGCACAAGTTTACATTGACATTTTGGACAGTTTTCTCATCCCTTCAATTGAACAGATGTTTGAGGTGATGAAATAATTTTCCAAGATGACAATGCATCGTGCCATAGGGCAAAAACAGTSAAGGCATTCCTTGGAGAAAGACACAGTCAGTCGATGTCATGGCCTGCAAATAGTCCAGATCTCAACCCAATTGAAAACTTGTGGTGGAAATTGAAAAACAAAATGGTCCGCAAGAAGCTCCGACCTGCAAAGCTGATCTGGCAACCGCTATCAAAGAGAGTTGGACCAAATTGATGAAGAATACTGTTTGTCACTCATCAAGTCCATGCCTCAGAGACTGCAAGTCATTATAAAAGCCAAGGGTGGTGTAACTAAATACTAGTGATGTATTTTGAATGATCTTTTGTTTGTCTGTTTTTATGATTCCGTACTTTTTTCCTCTGAATTGAGTGATTCCATATTTTCCCCCCGTGTTTGGTCAATAAAAGTAATGTTCACTGACTTCCACAATGTTTCCTCTTCATTTCTTTGAATGTTCTTGAAAGCCAACAAGCTGCACTTTGGAATGATCTTTTTATTGTATCATGTTTTTGATCCGAGCTTGTTCTACAGAATGAAATGTCCGAATGAGTGCTCATCCAAGACTGGTGATTCAATACTTTTTGCCAGAGGTTGTAGTGGCCAAAACGTACTTCAATTTAGAAAGGAACACAAAATGAACAGGTTTTGATCATCTCAGGCTTCTAATTGGTTTGTCCAAACTGGGCAGCTAAAGTGATGAATTAAAGTTGAATTAATGTTATTTAAAAGGGAAAATTTACTTAGATATTTTGAATTAGGGTTGGGAAAAATGTATCGTGTAGAACTAATTGTCAGAAAAACTTTCACTAAATAATATTTGGTACTTTGCAATTACTACAACTATTGCCACATGATGATGAAGTAATTTGTAAAACCAGTGGTGGAAGGTGGCGAGGTGCAGCTAATGCTAACACTACAAACTTGTTTAATCACCTAAAACACTGCCATAATCCAGAGTATGATGAAAGCCAGGAAATGCGGATCATGGCCACATCTTTGGCTACAGTAAACTCTCCTTCAGCGAATGGCTGAAACAAATCTATTTGGTCAAGAATCCATGATGCACTCAGTCAATCTGTCCGAATGAGTAAGTGCCGGAAGGAGAATAATGCAGGGCGGAATGTGGCATATTGCATTACTAGGTATATACTACTGCACAACATTGTGGAAATAGTGGGTTTTAATTTACAGTTTACCAATTTAACTTCTGAAAATGATGAAGTTAGTTAGACTGATCATTTATAAGTGCAATTTTAGACCACAGGGTAGCTGATTTATAGTCAAAAACATGCAAGTGAAATTGTCTATTATTCATCAGATTAATTATTGGCTAAATGCAACGATAGTGATTAATTTTTTACCAACATCTCCCAGCCCTATTTTGAATAAAGATTAGATTTGATGAGGTTAAAGTAGATGTGTCATGCTAGTATCAGCTAAGTAAAACACTTCAGAACATCAGACTTTAAAGCATGAAAATGTAAAAATTTGAAACCTCAGCTTTTCTGAAGTAGTAGCCCCTATATGATGCTAGAAAATATTCTAACATTCACTGAACATTCACTTGGTGCTTTTGGACCTCATAGTACAACTCTGTATTTATTAGAACCATTTGCCCCCTTTTTTTGGCACAGTGCTGATGTTGTAGCTGTTCGCAGGCCACATACTGTGACTGCTGTTCCCAAAGCTGGKGTTGGAACCCCACTGTGGATCCTGAAACATCAAGGTGGGGTCTTGAAAAGATTTTCAGAATTAAATACATTTACAAAATGACTACTAACAACAATTTTGTGTTCCTTAGTTATACAAAGGAGTGTAGTTAGTGTACTTAAAATTGGATGAAGTAACAGAATGAACATTATTACTATGCTCTTGTTTATTTGACCTACTAACCCCAAAAAACTGGGGGGCGCAGGTCTTTGATACTTTTATTTTGTGAATCAAAAGCCGAACAGTTTTGGAACCATTGGTGTAAACTAATTAGTTTTTTTAGACTCGTGCTTCTGAGTTGGTGCTTTTTTTTGACTAAATACAGACTCTCAAGTGATGCAATGGGATGTGATTGGTCTTTACATAAACATGTATTGATTGAATGAACATGTTAAACTGTTTTCCAGCACTCACACTAATAAAACTGCAKTCACATTGGCAAAGTTGAAGCTACTTAACAGCCTCTGTTGTCTGCTCTGACGTGTTCTTCCTTGCAGCATGAAGTAGACTGATCTGTTGATGAGTCTTGGCACTGTGTACTCGAGCACTCTCAGTGTAGTTTATGGCAGGCGATAAGTAGCATCCATAAATACTGCCAGAATGGCAACAGACCATTTGTATAGAAGGAAAAGACCTAAACTCAGTCAAAGAACCCAATTTTTTTCATTAATTGTTACAATTACCGGGACTAGCACTTCGAAGACTGTGAATTTATGTTTTCCTTTTTTTCTTGTCAATACTAGTTTAATACACTAAATTCTATTACACCRGTGGGATTATAGCTCTTTCTAGACTAGGTTGCTAAAAAACCTCTAAAGCAGTGTACTCAGGGTAGACATCAATTACTCTACATAACTGAAATTATAATATTTCATATTTTGTATTACATGTCATTGCAGATTCTATGTATAAACATAAAATGCTGAATGATAGTCAGTTAGTGTATAGGATAGAAAAAAGATCAGTTATTCTCTTCATACACAAGTGCATGCTAGTGATGCTAAGGACAATTAAAAATTAAAACACATTATTTTGGTGTGTCTTGCTTGATTTAAACACAATTATTGTATTGTAAAATATACAACAGGGTCAGTGTATCTTTTGGTCATTGGATTTTCATTTTTGAAATGGGTATTAAAAAACAAGAAACTAGTGGATATTTGATTTTTGTTCTAAAATACTGGAATTAAAATTAAAATACAAAGCATTTCTCATTCTTAGTGTCAAAAAAGGATAAACGAAATTTTAAAAATGATTTGAGTTTCATTTTCTGTTTCAGATAGCAAAAAAAGAAAATTACTTTAAGACAGAAATGAAAAAAGGCTCGTTTTGTTCATAATCCACGACAGGTTGTGCCAACTTACTGTATCCCTACAACAAACTGTTTCACCACCAGAAGGGGCGCCTGCAATATCAAAGTTATTCAATGAACATCCCATTACAAGTAAAAAGCATTGATGTTGACTTCAGTATCAAATAAATTTGCCAAGTATTTATTTGGTATCAGATCAAAATCAAAGTTGTAGTACCGCCCACCCCTCGCTGAAAGGAACACTCCGAGGACACAAACTGACAGAAAAAAGCACAGATTTTGTCAAAACTCAGGAGGGAAAAAAACTTTCTGCTCACAGAACAAAACCTGTACAACGCACTAATGGAATGAAAGTTGTCATATTTTGCTTTTTATTGAGAGAAATGGAGGTGAAGTGGAGGCAGYAGCTGACGTGTATTCAGTAAAAGACTTATTTGGCCAAAAGCCACATGAATTACCTCTGCAAARCCTTTGGTCACAGAGCAACAGTCATCATACAACTCATTTATGGATATATTTTTCAGTTTTTTCAGCCTTTTATTTACAGAAATTTGTGTTTCATTTTGCAGAGCTGCCAGGTGAGCACACCCTCTGGTGGGGGAATAGATAGTCGTAGAATACAAACAAACGAGCCTTTTTTCATTTCTGTCTTAAAGTAATTTTCTTTTTTGCTATCTGAAACAGAAAATGAAACTCACATCATTTTTAACATTTTGTTTATCCCCTTTCCACACTAAGAATGAGAATGGCTTTGTATTTTAATTTTACTGTCAGTATTTTAAAACAAAAATCAAATATCCACTCGTTTCTTATATATATACCCGTTTCAAAAAATGAAAATCCAATGACCAAAAGATACACTGACCCAAAAGTGTATGCTAAGCAATGAAACAGCTTCTTATTTTGTTGGACTGCAGTCCTGAAAGTCTGATGTTCTAAAGGCAGGGTGGGAGGCCCAAATGTCTGCAGCTTTTGCTGGATGGAAATGGATCAGATTTGTATCTGAGATTAGAGTGAATCAGATAAGTAAATGATGGAATGGACAAACCACTGTCTTCACATGAGCCCTTTTAGCTGAGTATCAGCCTTCAGATCACTACCATGGCATCTGTAGTTGTTGCTCTTGGACATAAGTGTCAAATATATCCTATATAAATAAAATATATCTAAATAAATAAATAAAAACAAACCCCTRATATTTGCTGTTTTACTGAACAAATGCTAGGATTTTAAAATAACCACGATTTCTGGTATAAAGAAAATTCGTTCAGTTTCTATTTTTTGTTTTGTGCGCTGTTTATACCATTAACTCCCATCATACCTTGGCCTTTTTATAACATGGACGTTTGTTTTTATGTTGCAGTTATTTTGCCAAAATCTGGTGCTGTTAAGGTGTTGCAGGTTCAGGAAAATTAATGAATGAACAAATTAACTGACACAGTGCTAACTGAAACATTTAACAATTACAAAATCAAAGTTTATAAACAAATAATGGAAGAAACAAGTCAGATGTTTAGACTCTGTGTTTTGACCTCAAGTGAAGGCAGTTTGGGTTCTTGAGAAATGCACCTCCCTGGCCAAAAATCTTTGACATTCTGGTAATCATGCTACCTTTGACCTAGTGATTATTATCTTCTTCATCGCTATCCCTCATGGAAATGCCTTGCATCCCTCCTTCCCTCACCGATGCCGTTGCTTCTTCTAAGGTCAGCCGGTTTCTCACCGTCTCATACATCTTACTGTTTAACGTGGAGTCCAGAACGCCCTGGAGCCGGAAGTCACGATACTTTTTCTGTCAAAAATATAATATTTGAAAATTAGTTGAAAAGGCAGACAAAAAACAAACAAACAAACAAACAAACTGGGACCTCATGCACAAAGACTTGCGTGGATTTCTAACTGAAATGTGGCCTACGGTCAAATCCAGAAAATGGCGTGCGYACAAAAAAAAAAAATCCAGGTATATCAAACTGTGCATATGCCAGAATCCACACACATTTCTCACTATCAACGTGGAACTGAGCCCACATCAGATACCTCCCCTGACATGCCTTCATTTACATATGTTAAACACATGCTAATTACTTCCTGCATGTGTGATGGACATGTTTGCGTGATCCCTGTGCAATCAGAAATGATTTCTAGAATCAGGAAAATAAGGAATAAAATATAATRTGAGTGAGAAAAATTCCTAAGTAAGTATAGGAGTAAAATACATTCGTTGAGCAAAGAATGAGAGATTGTGTCTGTGTGTTCATGCACAAGGCTGCTGTGTTGCACACCCGGTGCAGCCATCCTTTCTGAGCATAGAAATATTAACTTTGCGCACAAGTTTATTACCATAATTACTGTAAACAYAGAGGAATTGAGATGCTTGGTAGAACATAAATCTTTGTTTATTAGTAGATATGGAGAAACGAGTCTCTGCGCCTCAGTGGAGAGTTTTCATGATGCCACATGATGTTGGTGATTTAACTTTTAGAATCAAATGGATGAAGTCRTTCCATTGGGCATGACTCTGCTTTGGGTGGAGTGGACTGGCACAGTTTGGATCGGTCTGTCAGCTCCCCCTGGAAAGCCCTTGTGATGTGCATGCTTAGCGCATGGCTCCTCGCTGTGAGTTGTGCTCTGGGATTCTACAGATTGGCTTGGTGGTCTCCTGGTGTTACACAATGGCAGTGGCTATTCTGGCCATTTCCTGGCTGCCTGACCAACAAGAAGGATTGCCGTTCTTTCGGTACGCAGACTTTTGCCTTGAGCAAGCTGGAACTCAGTCTGCAAGTGGTTCTGCTGAGGGTCGTGGGCTGGCTTTGGTTCCTGGACTTTGCTGGCCAAATGGAATTGATCTTGGAGGAGCTGAAAGCTCAGCTCAGCAGGATTGTCCACATTATTTGTCTGATTGGATTCGCCACATTGGATGTACCAGCGGATATGAAGGCAGATGGAAAATTGTTATTGCCTGCCTGACTGAAAACATTTTCTTCTGTTCCCAAAAAAACTGATTACAAATTTGGCTCTCCCCTACAATGGCCTTGAGCTGCGGAACTAAACTTTTCCTGGATGTTTACGTTGACTGAGGGTCTGCCCCTCACCTTTCCTCCCTCTCACCCCTGTCTGTGATCTGGTTCCTGGAGCAAGCTGAGGGCCACATAGAATGAACAGTTACCATCAATATTCTGAACTATGGCTGCGTGGGTTTTGGGGACTCAATTCATTTAGAACACACTCTCTGGTCCCCATTTTTTAAAGTGGGAACCACCACTCCAGTCTGCCAGTGCAAAGGAGTTGTTCCAATCTTCTATGTGATGTTGAAGAGACATGTCAACAATATGACAGCCCCAAAACATCCGGAGACTTCAGCATCTTAGGGTGAATCTTGTCCACCCCTGGTGCCTTGCCACGAGGAGCTTTTTGACTACCTTGGTGACCTCTGTAATGGTAATGGACCAAATATAATTACAGATCACCCTATGCTCAAACATGGTGTTCGTTATTGACAACCCGTGCTAAACACAAAAGTCTAATAACAGAACACCATTCAGGTTCAAATCAGGGAGGTTGTTCCTCCCAATGGCATTGAAGTTACCCAGTAGAACAAGGGAGTCCTCAGACAGCACCCATTCCAGAACACATTTGAAAGACTCCAGAAAGGCCAGGTAATCTGAACTGGTGTTTGTTGCATAAGCATGAACAACAGTCAGAACCTTCCCTCCAGCAGAGAGGCAACCCTCTCATTTACCAGGGAGAACGCCAACACTGTAGCATGTAACAGAGGGCTTGTGACTCTCACTCAATGCATCTCTTCCTGAGCAACTCCGGAGTAGGAGAGAGTCCAGCCACTCTTCAGGAGTTGGGTTCCAGAGCTCAAGCTGTGAGTAGAAGTGAGCCTGACTATATCTAGCTGGTAACGCTAAAACTCACACACAAGCTCCAGTTCTTTACCCGCAAGTGAGGTTATGTTCCGCATCTCTAAAGCTAGTCTAGGCCACTCGGAATTGACATGGTCAGGGACTCTCCCTCACCTGTTGCYCGGCACACGTTACACCCAACCTTGATGGTCCTCCTTGCATTTAGTGGATCCACTAGTAGGTGGCCTCCAGTTGTACTTTTGGGCTTGGCCCAGTCAAGCCCCAGGAACMAAGGCTTGACCACCTCACTGGCGAGCTCCCTCCCTAGGCCTGGCTGCAGGGAGGTTCCCCAGTTTCCCTTTTCTGGGTGAGGCTTCCTGATGCAGCTAATGTACCATTTTMTTGTAGACTATAGAAATTGAAATCAGACAAAAAATCTTATGTTCTGATATTTGTATAAACCCATCCATTTGAACATGCCCAGACGTATTATTGTTTGCTCACATTTATATGCAYGTGACGATTTCATTGTGGCTCATCTATCTGGAACAAATTTGAATATMTCCCCCCTGTTTGAACAGGAAAAGGGCAGCAATACTGATGTCAAATGCCATTCAAATGATTTGAATCACAAAAAATTATTTATAAACAAATTTAAAGTGCCTGTAACGTCAAAATTTTGTAATGCATATGTAATACATATTTTTGAAAGGATGACATTGATAAAATAATGCAAAATAAAATTTATGCTGCTGAGATGAACAGTTATTGAGATATTTGCCTGTAAAATAATAGGAAGGGACRTCAAAGGGGAACATCTGCATGTGAACAGAGTAGTGCTACAACAGCCAGCAACTCAGACTGTAGAGAACAATCTGATGTTTCTTARGATTATTTTGAGTCACTATCAGAGAGAGTCAGAGTTCAAATACYGTAGTATTAATTCATTAAACAAAGACCAGAGAGTTTTCTTTGTTAAATAATTCCCCTTTGATGTCACTTCCTGTTTCACTTTGGCTGAGTCAATTTAAAAAGAAAATATGCCAGTTAAGGGGCAAAATGTATAAAATCGTGTGCATTATTCCAACTTTCTTAAATATAAAGATGCTTTCTTTGACTTTTTTATTTGACAAATATGCATGTCACAGGCACTTTAAAGGGGCAATATTATGTAACATCAACATTTTTAAAGCTTTATATCACCGTATAATGTTATTCTGTCATCAAAAACATGCCCAGAGTCCTGCTTTGACTCATTCATGCATATTTGAGAAATCCTGTAGTGTCYTGTTAGCCAGGCAGAGGAGCAAAAATGACCGGTTGGGCCTAGAACTGACTTTTGGGATCARCTACTCCTCTGGGCTGTGTCTCCAAGCCAAGCTTTCTCATCACAGAGCACCCTCACCAAAAGTGACATGGTTACTTTATTATGGTATAGAATTTAAATATATGTCTGAGAAACACATAATATTGAAGAATATTTGTAAATATCACCCGCTTTAGTCCTGATTGGCTGGCAGTTAGCTTGTACCCACTTCTACCCACTTAGAACCACCGAAGATTTGGTTCTGAAATAGCGTGGCTTTGAACGCGCTTGGAACCTAATGGGGATGCATGGGTCCGAGACCGAGCCAAGTTGAACTGCRTACAAGTGGGTCCGTGGACGGGGCTATGCATATACTTCTTCAACCTTTACCCACACCAGCYAGCCCATTGTCCCACRTCTCACTGGACTTTGTCACSGGTTTGCCACCTTCACAAGGTAATACCGTTGTTTTAACAGTTGCTGATAGATTCTCCAAAGCAGTCCGTTTTGCGCCCTTGGTCAAACTACCTACTGCCTTGGAAACTGCCCAACTCCTGGTGACCAATGTGTTCCGCCTTCATGGCATTCCATTGGATATTGTGTCTGATCRAGGACCYCAATTCGTCTCCCAAGTATGGAAGGCTTTTTGCAACGCTCTTGGAGCTCAGGTCAGTCTCACATCAGGACACCACYCTCAGTCAAATGGTCAATCARAGAGATGTAACCAGGAGCTGGAATCTATGCTCAGATGTTTTATTAACAACAATCCTTCTTCATGGTGTGAACACTTACCTTGGGTAGAGTATGCACATAACAGTCATACCTCCTCAACAACTGGTTATTCTCCATTTGAACCCTYCTCTGTTCCCCAGTGAGTACTCAGAAATCCTGGTTCCTTCAGTTCAGCAACATGTTCACCAGTGCTGCAGGATCTGGAGCCAGACCCAAAGAGCTCTTCTCWGGACAGTCCAGCAGARTAAGAGATTTGCTGACCACCATCGKTCCACCGCCCCATCCTACACTGTTGGACAGAAGGTACGGTTATCCACTCGAGACATTAACCTCAAAGATTTTCCTAGAAAACTTTCTCCCAGATTCATTGSCCCRTTCCCTGTGGAGAAGATTTTTAACCCATCTGCTKTCAGACTGCACCTACCGRCATTTATGGTAAATGGTACTGAACTTATAGAGCACTTTTCAAGTCCCTCCAGACCCCAAAGCGCTTTACACTAACAGACATTCACCCATCCACACACTGATGATGGCAAACTACACTGTAGCCACAGCTTGCCCTGGGGCACACTGACAGAAGCGAGGCTGCCATGCACCGGCGCCACCGGACCCTCTGACCACCATCAGTAGGCAAGGTGGGTGAAGTGTCTTGCCCAAGGACACAACAACTGAGACGGCTGGACGGGGGATTGAACCAGCGGCCTTCCGGTTCCAGGACGACTCACCTAACCACTCCACCACAGCCACCCACATTGCACATTTCCCAAATCAAACCTGTACGTGTCAGTCCTCTGTGCCCTCCTACCAACCCCACCCACCACCCACCCTCTCCTGGATAATCAACCCATATACACCATCAGGGAGATACTGGATGTTCGTCACCGTGATCATCAATTTCTTGTGGACTGGGAAGGATACGGGCAAGAGGAGCGCTCCTGGGTACCTAGGTCCTTCATCTTGGACCCATCTCTCATCTCCACCTTCTATAAAGAACACCCAGAAAAACRACTGTAATCGCCTGGAGGAGATTTTTGAGAAGGGGGTACTGAAGCACCTGCTTTAGTCCTGATTGGCTGGCAGCACCCATCATGCTCACCTGTTCTGGATCTGGYTCATCAACCCTCAGGCTTTATAAGGCTGTTTGGTGGATTGGCTCCTTGCTGAAGCATCGCTTACATTTGGGTAAAGCATCTCAGCCTAAGTTACTTCTGTAAACCTAAGTTACATAACTTGTGTTTGTTTTTTACCTGTCTCCAGGATTAAAGAGTTCCCTGAGCATTCTGTGATCCACCTGTGAAAACCTTACCTGTGAACCCTGTCTGATGAGCCTCTCACCTGATYCACTCAGTGTGCTGCYTGTCTGCCTCCAACCAATACTCACCTGGGAARCACTCACCTGTAAATACWCACCTGAGGTCCTGGAACTTCTCCTCCAYGCCAAAGCTCCTGCACCAACCTGTAAGAGAAACCTTTATCCAATCTTTGCATTTAAATCATTGGATTACCTGGATCAAGAACTCACCTCCAAACCCTTTCTGTTTCAGGTCCTGCTCCCTGCAGTTGCCACCTGTAAATAAAAACACTTACATTTTTATTCTGAGTCTCTTGTCTTGGTTTGTTACTGGTTTTGTTCACGTTGACTATTTCTCTKCAACCTGATAAATATTGYCCCTTTATTGRAAAWWTTCTWTATATTAAATACAAAACATTAATACAATTTCTGCCTTTTTTGACTATAATTTTTTTGTCTTTCTTATATAATCATGTGATTTTCTTCTTAGCCACAACCAGGCATACCTACACAGCACAGGAATGTGCTCCTTCCCCAAATTKACTAAATAAGCAAAGGATCAATAGAGAAGGTAAGAGGTGACAGCTGAGATGTGAACCAGATATTTTAATATTGTGCAATAAGCTAATTAGATTTGTTCATAAAATTTGTGCAATAAGCTAATTAGGTTTGTTTATAAAATGAAAGGTTAAATAGTAAAATAAGAAAATGTAGCATGCAAAATACTAAGCAAATAAAAATGCTGCCACTTGTAAATAMGTTATCAGATAACCAGATAACTATATCAGATAAATATCAGTAATAAGTAATATATAAATGTAGATATACAACACAATAGGAATAATACAACATTATGAGGCATCATCTTTTTTTCCATAAATGTAAACGTCATGTGGAATATAATCCAGTTGCATTTAGATATGTAATGCATTATTCTTACTTTGACAATCCTTATGAGTATCTTCAGTTGATACACATGTAGTTGAAGGTCCATACGGTCAGTCAGCCACGTCCCYACAAGGTTCATACTGCTGGTGTACCATTGCTGTAACAGAAGAACAAATGCTACACATTATGATTGAAAACAGTTATTGATGAAAATTGAAACAATTTGACATGTTTTTCAACATAAATAGATTTGTCTCTCAAAAATATTTTGCTGTTAGTTGAGTTTGTTTAGACAAACTAGTTCCTAATACAAGTTTGACTTCACTTGGGCTGCCTCTGTCTTTGAATTTTTTCAGATTGTGCCAACAAACCATCAAAACACATAATGTATAGTCTAATTTATTAAGCTATGTCTTTGCYTTACACACATTATTTTGATAAAATCTTTGTCATTCTGTGCATATGTTAGTTACTACGGAGACACATTTAGAAAAAAAATGTATGTAAGTTGCTCTTTCATTGTAATTTTTCCCAGGATTTTARTATGAGAAGCTACATTAAGAAACAGTTCACTATAATGCCACAAATATGTGTCAAATTTGGTATTTTTTTATCAACTGCAAACCCCATCCTACTTCCTGTTTCCAACCTGCTGAGGCCATAAAACAATGAAGYGCTCAAGTCTCCATGTAGGTCAAGCTTGCTCAGTGCAGCTTGGATGTCAGAGAAGATGGCTGTGGTGAAGCAGTGCTGGGGTGAATCAGAGAAGCGACCCGGTGCCAGCAGCCTCGTATCTGTCACTGTGTGCCTGTGAAGGCTTCAGCATGGCAGCAGGCCTGTGATCTCGCCCCGAGCACAACCTCCTGCTGAGAGGCCAGGCCTGGAGTGACTGATCTGCTGACTGGCTGCTCCCCTTCTTTCCGTCATCCACTCATTCTCTTCTCTTCTGTTCTTTTTTTTTGTAGACTTTGCACCTTGCCACGCAGCTCCCATCTGCAGCCATTTTTTTGCAGCAGCCATTTTGTGTTTGTTCTGTTTTAAGTTGATCTGCTTTACAGTACACAAAAATATTCCTTTCTATATTTACCAAACTGTATGATGAGATTTTTTGATAAATTAATAAYTGAGTGGTATATTATTTAAATTGTGGAACACAGAATTCACTCAAAAAGAAACATGTAAAGAAAAATGAAAATAGACTTGCTGTTTTCTCAGTACAAATGTATACGAGAAGCCAAAACATAGAGCTTAGTGGTAAGTTAAAATGTCCTGATCAGGACATGGCTCGCTATGCTAAACAGCCTTTAAGACAGGGTTATTCAACTGACAGCCTGTGACCGACATGTGGCCGGAATTGACTTCAATCTGGTCCATCGATGGGTTCTTCCAAAAAAAAAAGTATATATA